AGTCCTACCTTCAGAATAGCACAGTATATCCACATAAGCTATTGAGACCTTTCTTCTTAAATATCAGACAGCCAAGATCACTAACATAAAACAAACCCCAGCAGTATGAAAACGAAAAGTCAAACAAAATAAACTGAAAAACTGACCTCAGAAGAAACAGATAATTCAGGGACCAGAATAAAATATGACAAAAAATTATAAATTATATCCTCAGAGACTTGAGAATATACAAAAAATAAGAATAGAATGCTATATGAAAAGAATAATTAGAGAACAAGAAAAGTTCTTGGAAATAAAATAAGTATGATTGCTGAAATGAAAAACTGGGAAAATGAAAGATGAAATAGGAAGTAAAGGAAATCTAGAATAGAAAGCAACATAAAGTGGTGGTAAATATGAGCTAAAACCAGTCCACGTTGCCCAATATCTGATTGGAAAAGAGAATAAACAAAAACAAAAAAAAAAAGAGGGGAGGGAGGAAATTGTCAAGGAAATAATATGCAACTTTCTTGGGGTTCAGATTGAAAAGGTCAACCAGGTGCTCAACACAAAGCATGAAAAAAGATCCATACCTACACTTATCACTGTAAAATGTTTCAATATCAAGGATACAGAGAAGATGCCAAAATCTTCTACACACCCTAAAAAAAGCCATTTCCAAATGAATCATAAAAAGATTTGCATACAATTTCTTATTAGCAACTCTAGATACTAAAAATAATGGATGAACCCTTCCAAAATTCTAAAAAATATTATTTCTAATCTAGAATTATATATCCAACTAATCAAGTGTGAGAGTGGAATAAAAACTTTTTCATATATGTGAGGTCTCTGAAAGCTCTCATGTATCTTTTTTTAGGCAGTTACTTGAAGACATATGCTGGCAAAACAGGAGGAAACCAAGAAAGATGAAGGATTTTAATATTGGAAACAATGTATCCAAACCAGGAAAGAATTGAAAGGAAGCTCTAGGATGACAGTCTTCCACAGACCTGGAAAACACCCACACAGGAGGGAGCAGAAAGACGGAAGTCTCTGGGAGGAAGGTCTCCAGGAATGAAGAGGGATTTTTTTTTCAGTTTATGAAATTATGAAGACAGTGAAAAAAAAATCAGTGGTTGCCAGGGGCTCCAGGGGGAGGAAGGAATGAATAGGTAGAGCACAGGAGATTTTTAGGGCACTGGAAATATTCTGTATGATACTGTAATGGTGGATGCATATCATTATACATGTCAAAACCCAGAGAATGTGTAACACAAAGAGAGAACCCTAATGTAATTTATGGACTTTAATAATGTACAACACTGGTTCATCAACTGTAACAAACATACCACATTAATGTAAGATGTTAATGATAGGGGAAACTGTGTGCGCATGAGGGTGAGAGGTTAAATGGGAACTCTCTGTACTTCCCAATTTTTATGTAGACCTAAAAAAACGCCTTAAAAGGCTATTAATTTTTAAAAAACCAATAAAAATATGAAATAGTGTGATATATGTATAATTGAAGTCCCAGAAGAAGAGGAGAGAGAGAATGGGGCAGAATAAATATTTAAAGAGAGGATGACTTTCCAAAATGGATGAAAGACAATACACAGGTCCAAATAGTCTAGTGAAGCTCAAGGAGGATAAATACAAGGAAGTGTACACCTAGTCATATTATAGTTAAACTGTAGAAATCAAAGAAAAAGAAACATTTTTAATCATCTAAAAAAATATAGTCATATTACATTTAGAGGAACAACAATAAGAATTATGCTGGCTTGTCATTAGAAGTAAAGGAAGCCAAAAGACAATGAAAGAACATCTTTAAAGAGCTTAAAGGAAGCAAAGCCTGTGAAATTGAAGTCTATACCCTACAATAATATGCTTCGAAAATAAAGGTCATATGTGGGAATGTAAATTGGTGCAGCCACCATGGAGTACAGTATGCAGGTGCCTCAAAGAAACTAAAAATAGAGTTACCATATGATTTAACAATCCCACTCCTAGGCATATATCTGGAAAAGACAAAAACTCTAATTCAAAAAGATACATGCACCCCACTGTTCACAGCAGCACTATTTACAATAGCCAAGACATGGAAGCAACCTAAATGTCCATTGACAGATGACTGGATAAAGAAGATGTGGTCTATATATACAGTGGGCTGTTGCTCAGCCATAAAAAAGAACGAAATAATGCTATTTGCAGCAACATGGATGGACCTAGAGATTATCACACTAAGCGAAGTAAGTCAGACAGAGAAAGACAAATATCATATGATATCATTTATATGTGGAGTCTAAAAAAATGATACAAATAAACTTAGTTATAAAACAGAAATAGACTCACGAACACTGAGAACAAACTTATGGTTATCAAAGGGGAAAGGGTGGAAAGGGATAACTTACGGATTTTGTATTAACAGATACACACCACTACACACAAAATAAACAAGGCATTACTGTATAGCAGAAGGAAATATATTTAATATCTCATAGTAATCTATAATGGAAAGGAATCTGAAAAAGAAAATATATATACATAACTGAATCACTTTGCTGTATACCTGAAACATTATAAATCAATTATACTTAAAAAAGATAAAAATAAAAAAAGATCAGAAAGAACAAAAAAGGCATCATACTTGCTGATTTCAAACTATATTACAAAGTTATTATAATCAAAATAGTATGGTATTAGCATAAATACAGACACATAGGTCAATGGAACATTTGTTATTCTGAAGCCCAGAAATAGAGTTATATACATATGGTCAATTTATGACAAAGTAGCCGAGAATATACAATGGGAAAAGGACAATCTTGTCAATAAACGGTATTTAGAAAACTGGACAGCCTCATGCAAACAAATAAAGCTGGACCTCTATACCATACACAAAAAATGACTCAAAATGGATTAAAGACTATGACCTGAAGTCATAAAACTTTTAGAAGAAAACATAGGTGTTAAGCTCTTTGATGCTGGTATTGGCGATGATGTTTTAGGTTTGATACCAGAAACAAAGGCAGCAAAAGTTAAAAAAAAAATGTGGGACTACATCAAACTAAAAAGCTTCTGCACACCAAAGGAAACCATCAACAAAATGAAAAGGCAACCTACCAAATGGAAGACACTATTTGCAAATCAAATATATGATAAGTGGTTAATATCCAAAATATATAAGGAATTCATACAACTCAATAGACAAAAAAAAAAAGAAAAGAAAAACCCCACAATAAAACAATTTGATTAAAAAATAGGCAGAGAATCTGAATAGAAATTTTTTCAAAGAAGACATACAGATGGCCAACAGGTATACGAAAAGATGCTCAACAACAATAATTGTCGGGGAAATGCAAATTAAAACCACAATGAGGTAACACCTCCCACCTGTTAAAATGACTACTATCAAAAAGACAAGAATGTTATTAGTATTAGTGAGGATGTGGGAAAAGGGAACCCTTGTGCACTGTTGGTGGGAATGTATACTGATGTAGCCACTATGGAAAACAGAAAGGAGATTCCTCAAAAAATTAAAACTAGAACTACCATATGATCCAGCAATTCCACTTCTGGTTATTTATACAAAGAAAATTAAAACACTAATTCAAAAAGGTGTATGAATCTCCATGTTCACTGCAGTCAAGATATACAAGACAGCTAAACTTACAACAGCCAAGATATGGAAACAACCTAAGTGTTCATCAATGGATGAATGGATAAAGAAAATGGTAGGTCTATATCTATATCTATAAAATGAAATATTATTTGGCCATAAAAAAGAAGATCTTGCCATAAGCTACAACACAGATGGACCTTGAGAGCATTATGCTAAGAGAAATAACTCAGAGAAAGACAGATACAGTATAATGTCTCTTATATGTGGAATAAAAAAAAAACCCAAAGAGACTCACAGACATAGTAAACAAACTTATGGTTACTGGGGGAAAGGGAGTGGGAAGAGATGAATTGGGAGTTCAAGATTTGCAAATACTAACTGCTATATACAAAACAGATAAAATAAATTTCTTCTGTATAACACAGGGAACTATATTCAATATCTTGTAGTAACCTGTAATGAAAAAGAATATGAAAACAAATACATGTATGTACATGGATGATTGAAACATTATGCTGTACACCAGAAATTGACACATTATAACTGACTATACTTCAATTAAAAAAAACCAATCAAGCTCATAGATGCAGAGAACAGACTGGTGGCTGGCAAAGGCAGAGGGCAGGAGGATGGGCCAAATGGGTGAAGGGGGACAAACTTCTAGTTATAAAATAGGTCATGAGGATGTAATGTACAGCATGTTGACTATAGTTAGTAATATTGCATTGTGTATCTTTACTAAGTGAATTTACTAAATCAATTAATAAAATTTTCAAAGTTTAATGTTAGCAAGCAGCAAAGAAAAAAGTGTTAAACTCAGTTACTAATCCTTCATCATATCTTAATCTAATTTTTGTTCTCTATAAGATCTGTACTTCTGCAGGTCAAAATCATTCCCCCTATCTCTTCGGTTTAATCACACAGAAATCTAGGGTGGAAAAAAGGAAAATCTCTTATAAATACTTGGTGACAATGAGATGCTTTAAAATTTTAGTGGGAAAGCAAGTTTTATACAACTCTTTAAGGCAGTAGCTGTTTTAAAACTTGGAGTTTATTTTTAATAAAAATCTTAATATTGCCAGAAGTATAATGTTCCTTCTAGCTAACTTAAAATTGAACGTCAAAAGTAGGTTTTAAATAAAAATCTTGTATCAATTCTCTAATTTCTAAAATTTAACACAAAAAGTCATGAAAAACATTAAAATAGAGATCTGTTAAACAATTATTATTATTATTGACAGACTGAAGGAACTACTTCCCCTTTGTCCACTTGTAATAGGGCTAGTCATCTCATCTGGAGGGTAGAGATCATGCAGTGGCTTTGTTGGCTTGTGCTTTAAGATTTATCAAGTAGATATCTTATTTTCTATCCATTTACATTTCTTATTTCACATACCATTTGTAATAGTTTCATTCAGTGTTCCTTGTGGAGGACAAGAACTCTTTTTTTCCACCTGTGGTTTTGTTTCCTCTGTTTTTGACAAGATAGTTTCCTGAGTTTCTTCAGGTTTACTATCACTAGCTTTGAGGATCTGAAGTAAAACAAGAAAATCTGTTAAGAAATATACTTTCATACAATTTTATGAATGCAAGAAATGACCATAATTAAATTCATACTATTACTGTGAACATGGATACAAAACATACAACACACACACAAAAGCATATTCATGCTCTGTATCAATAGGTATCTGCGGAGGTAACAGCAGTGTATTTTGCAGGGCATCTTGATTTGGCCTTTCGTAGACCTGAGTTACTGCTGTCTTCATTTATGATTTATATGTACTGAGTAAGTCCTGTAGTGTGGGCAAAATAAAACTGCCCGTCCTCAGTCTAATTCCAAAAGATTATTCAACAAAACTTTTGTGGAATTAAAATACAACTAAATTGGAAAGGAGGTAAAATATAATTTTACTTGGATTCAGTTCATTTGAAAAATCATATAACTGAAAGAAAAATGAGAAAAACAGATTAAGCTTTCAGAAATGAAGGTTCACGCTTCTTCTACCACTGTTCATAGATAACACATTCAGATGGTTCATGGGTACACCTCAACCTTCCAGGCTTTAGTGGTAGTTAGTCTAATTATGAAACTGCTGATTTAGGGGGAAAAAAAGATATGTTTAGCTTATGAGACTAATCAAAGGCTTCTCCCAAAGTAAAAACCAAAACAAGACAAAAGATCAAAAAACAAAATAGGTCACTTAACTCTGGGATAGAGATCTTCAAACTTCCTTGCTGTCATGATGTGTGTGTGTGTGTGTTTATGCCCTTTGAGTACATCAATACTACTTTGCATGCAGTGGAGAAAGAACATCACATTGCCACAAGAAATGGTGACAAAGGCTAGAGAGCATGGATGGATTAGATTAAGGGAAGAGGAAGCACTTAATGACTAGGAAGACAGAGGGACACAGCAGCTGATGTAATCAAATTATGTAGCTCTTTAAAAGCAAAGTTCTTTAAACCTGGTCATGATTAATCTTTTGGAGTACTGATTCAGAGACCTTTTCTTGGAAAGTCTGTCACTATACGAATGGTCCAAGGTAAAGACACAAAGGTGAGTTTTGATTAGGGTGGGTGAAAGGTTATATATAATAAAACCATACTACTTTCAGTTTTATTGTTTCAGAATTTATAATAAATGTACAAAGAGTAGGATAAAGTCTTTACAGATAAAATATTTAGAATCAATGGGGGGTATTTAAAATATTTTTTAAAAAGGACTTTTTTGGCTCTTAAGAACTGTAGAAACCTCTATTATAAATAAGCAATTTATAATTCTAATTATGAGCAATTATTACTTAGTAAAACTAGACCAACAAAAGTTCTAATGACTTACTATTTACATAAGCAAAAAAAAATAGGTCTTTTCAAATGTACAGCACATTTTAATTAATTTAGATTTTTCTTTATCTCTTGTACTCTAAACAACTAAGTTTATTCTGGACCTGGCAAGAAATAATAAGTCAAATTTCCATTATTCCTAAAATCTGCCCTCTTTAGCTCCAAAATAATCTACAGTCACCCTTTCCTATCTTTTCATTCCTTTTACTCATTCCTTAAGACCTATTAAAAGTAGCTATTTTTAAATGACCACTTCTCATTTTTCAACCAACCAAAAACAAAAAAAACCTACTAAGTAAACTTTACAAATAAATTTTAAAATCAGATTGGTTTTTATGTCATATTTTATAGTATAGTTTTAAGTTTTTACCTGAGGAGTTGTAGATGATTGCATGTTTTTATCCTCCAAATGTTCATTATTTGGTTCTGTGGTGTACATGCTAATGTTTAAAAGAAATTTAAAAGGAAAAAAAAGAACTATAACTCCATCTGAAAACAAACATGGTTAAGTGGGATTAATTTTTAAATAATTTTTATCACAAAATTTTATCACATTCAAGTCAGATATCTTTATAGTCAAACAGTCCAAATATTCATTTTAAAGTTATTAACCAAAGTTATGTGCACAAGTTTTTTAAACTATTAACACAGAGAAATTGAATACTTCTCAATAATTCATAATCTTGAACTATATTTTAAAAGCATATATCAGAAAATTCTTTATTTCATGCACTGAACTAGTATGTTTGAGAAAATTTCTATCACTGATATATTCTATCTTCAGTAAATTCCTGCATAAGAGACTCCAAGAAAATTTAAAATGAAATGTGATCACCTACATTAAAACCTACATCTGTAAGTTACTGATACAGGCTGAAAGGTCTGTAGGTCTAACATTTAAGCAAGGCAAAATAGGTTTTATTTTGAGTAATTATGTACTAGAGAGAGAAAAAAAAAGAATGAAATAGAACCACATGAAGAGAAGAATTAGTTCCGGAAACTTTTATTTTAAAATAACTGTTGTTTCTACCTTCTCTGTGATCTTTGCTGTCTTTGAGTGTAGAGAGAGTATCTTTGCCTTAAAAATGTCTTTCAATTCTGGAGCTACTGTTGAGGACAAAATTAAAGATTTCAAGTTTTAATTTTTAAGTACTTGACAAGAACACGTTTCAAGTATCTATACTTTTTTAAAAAGGCAAGCAATTTTAATAACGAAAAATTTTAATGAAAAGGAACATTAACATTTGAGTACCTACCACATGCTCAGTGCTTACATGTACTGTCCCACTTTAATGAATCAAAATATTAGTGCATAAAATCCTTTAAGGAATCATAACTGAATTTATGACATTAAAACAGAAAATAACACTTATTTTTAAAATTTGATGAAAAACATAGATCTCTAAGTCCCTTTAAAGTAAAATTCCGTTTTCATTAAAGAGAACATCAAAATTATTAGAATGACTCCCTGTTGTTAGCTGTTAGGCCAGAAGCAAAGTGTTAGTAAGGTGTCCGAATAAGGAATGTTGGTGAATCACCTAAGCTGTGTCAGGTTTGGAAGGGGCAGGCTGAGGGTTAGTATGATTAAAAAAATTTGAGCTCCAGTGCACGAGTCATGCGGTCAGGGCACAAAGTTCATGGACTCAATAATTTTTGAATGCCTACTCTTCTGGATTCTGAAAATAAAAGCAGCAAAACAGAACAAGAATAGAGGTTTCTGCTGTTACATGGAGCTTATAATCTTGTCGCGGGGAAGGGAAAGACAATAAACAGTATTTTCAGACTGCAACTAAGTACTGAAGAAAATAAACCAGCATGATGTCACAGTCATCAAGATGACATCTGAACTGTGACCTGAATGAGGAGAAACTGTGAGTCATAACTAGGCAGATGGACTAGGAGCAGGCAAACATAACATCACAAATCATACAAGTAGAGATATCAAGAAAGTAGGCAGCAAATTTTAAGATCTGGAACTAAGTCATGATTAGATAGCAGGACTTGGGATCCAGAGGAGCAAACGGTGCATTAGAGCTTGAAAACCTAGATAAGGAGTCTGAAAAATAAACATACAGGTTATCAGCTACAAGAGAAGTCTGATACTGTGTCAAGCAATATTTGTGCCTGACAATTACTCAGTACTCTACATATCTGCCAAAAGTGGAATTGGTAGGTGGTATGCAGAGTAACCAAAAGCAAGAACTTTGGAGCTGAGATAGAAATGTATTTCACTCTCCCCTTTATCTTTAAATAACTGCAAGAAGTGATTTATTTCCCTAGTCCTCGATGTATTTATCTGTAAAATAATGATATAATATTGCTTAATGTGTTGGTTTTTGTGAGTATTAAATGATAAAACAGCTGACACAAGTTGGACTATGTTAAACACTTAACATGAATCATCTCTTTCGATTCTCACAACTCTATAAATTATTTACTTTCGAATTATTTACTCTATGAATTATTGTCCTTATTTAACAGATATTGAAACTGAGACCCAAGAAGGTTAAGTAATTTCCCCAACGTCACACAGCTAGCAAGTAGCATAGCTGAAATTTAAACCAAATACTTTTTAGTATTATTCAAGTCCTTGTTAACCCTGGTATCATTTGTCTTTTTGCTTTTATTCAGGAAATACTGCATTGTGGATTTAAGTTACATTTTCTTCATGACTAATGTATTTATTGGCCACTTAAATATCTTTTGTTTAAATTGAAGTATAGTTGATTTACAATGTTGTATTAGTTTCTGGTGTACAGCATAGTGATTCAGTTACACATATACAATATTCTTTTTCATCATATGCTATTACAAGTTACTGAACATAGTTCCATGTGCTATACAGTATGACCTTATTGTTTATCTATTCTCTATATAGTAGTTTATATATTTTAATCCCAAACTCACAATTTATACCTCCCCCTACCTTTCCCCTTTGGCAATCATAAGTTTGTTTTCTATGTCTGTGAGTTTGTTTCTGTTTTATAAATAAGTTCATTTGTATCATTTTTTAAGATTCTACATATAAGTAATATCATATGTTTGTCTTTCTCTGTCTGACTTACTTCACTTAGTATGATAACCTCTAGGTTCATCCATGTTGCCGCAAATGGCTGTTTTTTATGGCTGAGCAGTATTCCATTGTTTTATATATATATAAAATGTTTTATATATGTATATATGTATATGTATATATATGTGTGTGTGTGTGTGTATATATATATATATATATATACTACAACTTCTTTATCTCATCATCTGTCAAGGGGCATTTAGGTTGCTTCCATGTCTTGGCTATTGTTAATAATGCTGCTATGAACATTGGGGTGTGTGTATCTTTTTGAATTGGAGTTTTCTCTGGATATATGCCCAGGAGTGGGATTTCTGGATCATATGGTAAGTCTATTTTCAGTTTTTAAAGGAATCGCCATACTGTTTTCCATAGTGGCTGCACCAAATTGCATTCCCACCAAACAGTGTAGGAGGGTTCCCTTTTCTTCACACTCTCCAGCATTTATCGTTTGTGCACTTTTTAATAATGGCCATTCTGACCAGTGTGAGGCGATACAGTGATATTGAGCATTTTTTCATGTTCCTATTGGCCATTTGTATGTCCCAGATTCCTTTTGTAGAGCCTTAACTCTTGATTTTCCCTGCAACTGAGACTCTCCAGCATAAATCTTCCCTTCATTTGGTTAATTCCTTTTTATCTCTCAGTTCAAGGACCATATACTCAAGAGAAATATTTATGACACCACCTCTGCCCCTAGACTAAGTCAGGTCCAGAGTTTATATGTTATTACAGAACTTTGATTATTTTCTTCAGAGCATTTATCTCAGTTTTTAATTATGTACTCATTAGAGTGACTGTTTAATGCATTTTTGCCTCATTAGGCTACAGACTCCACAACAGTGTCCCAAAGGCCCTTGAGGCTCTGTTCATTTTATTTTTCAATTTTTTTCCACTCTGTTCTTTAGATTGAACAATTTCTATTTATCTATCATCAAATTCACTGATTCTTCCCTCATTTATTTCCATTCTGCTATTGAGTCCATCTGGTGAAATTCTATTTCAGATACTGTATAATTTTTAGTTCAAAAAGTTTTACTTACTTTTTTTTTTTTTTTACTGTTTCTGTTTTTCTGCTGTGAATGAGTATCTTTCCATTTATTTCAACTATGCTTATCTTTACCACATGAACCATGACTGCTTTAACATCTTTGGTAATTCCCACATTTGGTAATTTCCATATTATGGTTGGTGTCTCTCGGTTGTATTTTCCGGTTCTTTATATGTCAAGTACTTCTGGAGTATATCCTGGACATTCTGTTGCATAGACTCTGGGTCCTACCAAAATCCTCGAGGAACATTTTATTCATTTTTTGTTTGTTTTAGCAAGTAGTCAACCTCGGTCAGTGTAGATCACCTGCTCTCTCTTACTTCCTGTGGGCACCGGTTCCAGTCTCACTTGTTCCCAAAGTCTTTGCTATGCTGCCTTCGGTTCGTCCCATGAAATCACTGTGACTTGGGCAGTGGTGGTTTTTTGGTTTGGGTTTTTTGAAAAGCTTACCTCACTTCTTAAAGCCACTGATATGCTGCTTTGGGCCTGTCTCATGCATGCACAGCTGGAGGTGATCCAAGAACTTGGTTGGGTTCAGACACAGAATTCAGGAACCCCGTTCCCTTGCTTTCGCCTCTCCTGAATCCATACACCCCCAATTCTATTATCTCTAAAGGTTCCTTTTCCTCCTTTCTCTGGTCAGAAGACAGTGCTTTTTCTGAGTTTTAGCTGTCCGTAATTCTATGAATAGTGCCTGCCCTTAGGGAAAAGCCGTAAAAGGAAAACAACAATTCCTCATATTCATTTCGGACTACAGGGTCCATTTCCCCAAATCTTCAGGCCATAGAAATAGGTTTCTTACTGTACTTTTGGCCTCCTGTGTGGTTCTTGCATGGTTGCATGACTGGGGGCTTGCCTTCAGGTCAAAGCCACGAGAGCAAGAGACATTCACCCTTGTAGTTTTGACTGTCCTCCACAATCCACCTGCTTTTGCTCATTTTTCTGAGTCCTCAGGTAGTTGCTCCTTGCATTTTAACCAGTATTGGGTTGTGAGCAGTAGGAAAGAGTTTGTAGTGGGCTTATTGCATCTTGGATGAAAATGGAAGCCTGTGCACTTCAGGATAGCAGGGACCATATCTGGTTTTACCCTTGATCTACACAGTAAATGGCAGGCACTCAATAAGTATTTGTGGGATGAACACTGAGTGAATTGAGAATTAAAAAAATACCAGATACTCAAAATGACAACAAAAACAATATTCTGAATGGTTAACAAGAAGGGCATCTTTATGATAGAAGGGTAAGAGATTCTAACACCAAGAATAGGTGTTTCAAACACATAAAAAGGAAACAAATTATAAAATGAACAAGATCCTTAA